AATTCTCAAAATTAAATCCAAATCACAATAGATCAACAAAAACACTTCATAAAGAAGTGCTAATCTGAAAAGATCATCAACGGAGACATGATCGCTATTTTCAGGCGCAAATGCGGAACTACAACGGTAAAATTGGTAACGCGAAACCCCCCTTTTCATACATCTCACTCATAACAATGGCGATACAACGATCCGAATCGAGAATGCTGACGCTTTCTGAGATATATCAGTTCATAATGGATAACTACGCTTATTATCGACAGAACCAGCAAAGGTCAGCCGGGTCAGTGCAAATTATTGCTATCACATCATTCTGCATGCAAACATTTCTTTTAACTTTTCAATTTTCCATACTCACGTATCCCTATTCATCCCTAATCACGTTCACAAATTCTCCGTTTTCCAAATAACTGATGAACTGTTCTATTCCAGTGAATCCTGTTATCTCATCAACTAAACAACTTCTTGTGTAGTTTCCTCTGATGATTTTCGCATTGATTCTGAAGTGATTGAAGAAATTCTTCGAAGCAAATTGATCTCACTGGATTGATTGATTGATCACTTTGGATCGTAGTCTGTTGCAGTTGAATCACTGAGTGAAACATAACGATAGATATTCCAAAGTTTTCAACGAGTGTTTCCTTTCCTTCAAAAGTGTTCCATCAGTTAAGATCTGTTTCATTTGCAGGTGGCAGAATTCAATTCGACATTCGCTTAGCTTTAACGATTGTTTCGTGAAGGTGCCCAGGTAATTTGACATTCACTGTGCAACTTTTTATACTGAATTACTTTGTAAACTTTTGATACCCTCCAAATAAATGTATTGCAATTCGTTGTTGTACATTATGGATACTCGTTTCAAGGACACCCGATAAACCGGGCAAAGGAAGTTTCTGGACTCTGCATGAAGACTGCGGTAATATGTTCGAGAATGGATGCTATCTTCGGCGGCAGAAACGCTTTAAGATTGGTGATGGAAAACCGACGAAAACTCGAAAACTGGTCAGTTCATCAAAAACTTTCTTCGAACCATCTGATCTGCACTGATCAAAGATGATTCTTCACATGAAATAGTTTCCCTCACTGTATTTCTGCCTAAAGCTTCATATTATCCTATAAACTCATTCAAGAGTTCCGTGAAAATAACCTCTACTAAACTCACACTTTCTAAACGAGAAACTCAACGACCAAGCCCACCATACTGTTCAGATGAAATAATCAAGTAAAAAGAGCACTTGAGAAGTAAATCTTTAGAAGTGGATGTCTAAGATGATCTAAAAGTTAAACACAGCACTCTAATGAGAATTCATTTGTTTGTTTAGACTGCGCATGCGCATAATAGAGTTGCTACAGTGAAGGAGGAGCATGATGCTTCGGATTATATGGAGTCAAAGAGCGCGAGTATTGGTGATATCAAGACGGTACCACTCGGTACTCAAAAGCAACCCACTACCACATGTTCACCGACGAGTGAGGTGAATATTCCAGAAAATTCTCAAATATCCTCCAAAAATCGTCCACAGTTTTTGCCACTTTCAAAACCACGCATGAAATCTGAATGTTATCTATTCTTATTCAGTCTTCCAAGTTCTCCATTTAAATCCATTAAGAAAATACCGAATTTCCAGATTCCTCAAACTTTTATGAATTTCTATGCGAAATTCTAGTGTTACAAGCTTCGATCCTGCGATATAGTTATTCAATTCGCCCAGAAATAAAGATCTGTTGCAACAGCATGTCCCAAAATAGCTAAAAGTCTTGGTTTTTTGC